GGTCCGTCGATCATCTTCACAATGATGGTGTTCGCGCAAGTGGCATCGTTCCGTATCGACAGTTGGATTTTGTTGTGGAGCAATCTTGTGCCCATCTGTTCTTTCACCCTCATCTGTTTTCTTTGCTCAAGTAAAATTCAGGTATGTTCATATTTGTTGCAGATTATTTTACACAAAGCTCTTGCCTAATCGCTCTGCACCTATCTTCAGCTGACGTTTGCTAAGGTGCTCAGCATCGCCTATGCATTCGTGATGATGGCTGTGCTAGTCGGCACCGGCATCCAGATCACTACTGAGGGCGTCGGCAGCCCTACATCGGTGTTCGTGCTGGCGCTGAGCGGTGTGTTCTTCGCTGCCGCCTTTCTACACCCCCGTGAGCTGCACAACATTTTCTATGGGGCCGTGTTCTTCCTGATGATCCCCTGCACATATGTAGTTATGGCGCTCTACTCGCTGATTAATCTGCACGTAATCAACTGGGGTACTCGTGAAGCGGCCGAAAAGGCAGTGGGCGGCCAGACAACCGAACCTAAGTACAAAATCTGGTTGCGCAAACTCCGCCTCTACCCATCGTATCCTTCGTCGTTGTCTCTTTGCAAACAAGAGAACAGCAACAACGACGAATCAGTGTGGAGGATATGGTCTCACAAACGACGAACATTCGACAGTGACTCCTTGCGGAAGCTGTGTGAGCAAATCCAAGCGATAGACAGAAAGTAAGCAGCTAAATTTTTCAAGCTTTTTTTATTATACAATCTGTTGTCTTTTTCATTTTAGGCTAGACCGGATAGAAGACCGTGTAGATAACCTGAAATCTCGTCGTTTAATGAGTCTCCGCTCAACAGTGTTGTCTGATCATCATCAGACTAGCATCGATGAATCAGATCAGACAGAGAGCAGTATTGCGTCCGTATCACAGACTGTTGAGTCTCCAAAGGACGCCGCTACCACGAACAAGCGTTCAGCTCCAGAAATCAAGATCATTGAAGCTACGCCGCTCTCCAATCGGCTTGGCGGTACTTCAAAAGGTGGTTCATCAGGGAGAAAATCTGCTTATTCCTCCCCCTCCATCGGCGGCACGCAGCCGCTCAAAGAAATGCGACCGATCGATCCTCGAAAGTATGACACAAAGTTAGGACAGAAACAGCTGTTTCACCAAAACCTGATGTCCGAAGAGTTCGACGATGGTGGCAGCGAAACATCGATGGACAGTTTCTCTGATACCAGCCACTTTAGTGGGCGAAGGAAAGGTATTATTCATATCCAGATGCCGTTCTGCTGTTCATTT